TGAAATATTCCTCAAAATTTCGATGAAACTATCCTCCCAAATTCAATTTTCTTTTAGTTGTCCTCGGAATTACCTTGAAATTATCCACAACATTCATTGAATTCATTTCAAATTTCCTTTCGAATCTCACTCCTTCCCTTGGAATTCTACTCACATTGAAAGTATCCTAAGAATTCATTGGCATTTCTCCTCACAAATTCCTTAGGTTTGTTTCTTTCTCATAATTTGCTTGTCAAACTCTCCTGGGTCTCCCTTAGCTCAGCCGGTAAAGGCACAGCTACAAAGCAAGGCCATGCTGGAGGTGGCTGGGTTCGATTCCCGGTCCGGTCTAGGAATTTTTCGGGTTGGAAAATTTCTCGACTTCCCTGGGCATAGAAGTATGATTGCCACATAATTATACTAATGCAAAAATGGTACCGGCATCGAAAGCTCTCAATTAATAACTGTGGAAGTGCATCTAGAACACTAAGTTGAGAGCACGCAATAAGCTAATATGCGATATGCAATAAGCTTGAAATGCGAAGAAGAAGAAGACTCTCCTGAATTTATTTTCCGAATTCCTTAGAAGATGTCCCGGAGTTATTCTCAGATTTAATTGTAATCCTTCTTTTAGTATTGTCAAAAAATGTCCAAGGACTTATGCTCCGGATTCGTTTTCTCCCACAAACTTTATGAAATTATCCTCAGAATTCCCTTGGAATTTTCCTCTGATGTTCACATGGGATGTGCTTCTCATAAATTCCTAAGAGTTTTCATTAAAATTTACTTTTAATTCAATTCAAGGTTTCATGAAATTCTACTCAAAACTATCAGGCTTCACATGAAATCTAAAATTCCTCAGAACTAGTTTGAAAGCAAATAGCATTTGATGTTTTTTTTTCTGAAAAACTCCCTTGGAATGAGGTCCTTAGAAATTATAATAAAATTACATGAGCCTTTAAAGCTGTGCATGGAATTTGACTCCAGATTCTTGAAAATTTCTTGAAGTTTTATAGCTTTTAAAGTCCAGAACTAGTTTAAATTTAAAATAACTAGGAAATATGCATGTTCCAAAACAAAAAAATGGAATGTTTTTAACTTATTTGTTACTGCAGATTAATCCACTGTAGATCTATAAAGTTCAAAGTGTGGATGAAAATGACAAGAAAAATTAAATGCTTGTATTTTAAAATTCATTCTTTTGTTTTAGATATCGTTAGTAAGAAAATTATTAAATTCTCTGAGACTTCCTGGTATTGTAAGGAAAAATTAAATTTTCTGAGGATTCCCGGTTTTCCAGGTTTTGGCCATCTACTACTTTTCTTCTCTTAGGTCACTAAAAAGCCACTGTTTTTACAACTATAAATCACTATTAGGTCACTTATTTCTTCAACATGGTCACTAAAATCACTAGTTTTGACAGCAAGGATCGCTACCAGTCCTGAATTTGTTGTAAAAATTTGTATTATAAAGTTTTGAAAATCTGATCTTGAATGGGGCAAATTAATAATAAATTTATAAGGGTTAAAAAATGTCTAAAATTCCTTCCACACACACATAAATATAATTAAATTAATTAAGCCCGTCGAGATAACGTAAAACAAAGTACTGTTAAGTATAAAACAGCAAAAGGGTTTATCTTCCATTTAATTCCACTTAATTAATTTTGGTATCCATGACAGATACGTATTTCGACTACAATGTGCAGTCTTCATCAGTGTCATTCCCACTAAAGAACTTATCAAAATCTAACCCCCTTAAGTACTCATCCCCTAGGTAAAAAAGTCAAGATCATAGGTATAAAAATGAAACTACAATGTGTTGAATCGGAACCTACCTAACTAATAAAAACCAAAGATTTAAGTGAGCTAAAGGAGAAAAAATCTATACAACTCTCTAATAAGGAAAATGATGAAGACTGCACATTGTAGTCGAAATACGTATCTGTCATGGATACCAAAATTAATTAAGTGGAATTAAATGGAAGATAAACCCTTTTGCTGTTTTATTTAGCATTCCGCTAACAACCCAATTTCATTACTTCACTGTTAAGTATAATTAATCAGTTAAGTTAAAAAAATATAAGAAATATTAATACGTCAAGTAAAATATCATGTACTTTTCAAAAATTAACTGTATAAATCGGGATTATACAATAGCTGGCTAAAATTGTTGTTTCCCCATATGACTGACCATTTTGTAGAAACATTTGCCAGAACATTCAATGTTTTGATTTGGACACTTTCCGAAGTTTAACAATTTTGTATAAGGGTCATTCCAGCTCAAGTGGGTACACCACCTGTGGTCGATGTCACCGATTTGAGCCAAACTTGGCCAAAACGCTTATTTTGGCATTCTGAACAAACGCCTTTTTTGATTTTGCTCTAAAGTGCCTAGATCCTTCAGGGCTACAACCCTGTATTTTCGAGTTTTTTAAAATTTAAACTTTCAGAAGAGATTACTCCACAACCAAATAAGCTATTCGTGATCTTAGAACGTCAATTTTAAGGTTTTGTAATGTAAATTATTATTAATGTACAAACATTTTGTTTTTGTCATAGTAACTACAGTAAACCGGCTGATTACCGGCAAGAATTAAAATTGTCGAAAAATGGCCTATTTTCACCAAGGGCGGGATTTTTTATTTCTTAATATTTTGGGCTCAAATTTTCACCACACCTTGGAAAACTCTTGTACTGGATGTGTTTCCAAGGGTAAATTATTTGGACAAATAGTTTTTGAGATATGACCAGATGAGTGAGAGGTAGTTTTAAGCATTTCTGGTGAAAAATCAATGCTATTTAATATATTTTTATTTTTTCTTGTATTTCTTCATGCTGATGGCACAATAATATTGTTATGTTATTTTTCACATGTTCTGGGCTGGATTCTCATTATATGAAATCACAGCTACCTTATTTATTTACTTCTGTCCATAATTTAATTATGATCCTTAAAGTGAAAAATACATTCCTATAGGATACGGCCAAAACGTGCTTTAGAAGTACGATGAAATCAGATAGATTAGCAGGTATGGAAAATTTCAGTTGTGGATGACAGTTGCTACTTGAATAATACCGAATACATCATATCAAGAAGACTGACAACTTTTCCAGAATCCAAGCGACAAATACAATAGCGCTGCGCTTGAGTGAAGGTGGAAGCAACGCATAGAAAAATTAGCAAATACATAAACCTTTCTTCTGAGGATGTAATCTTTGCTATCAAATTCGTTCGAAGCATTTACCTTTGAGCGGCAGATGACGCGATTGTACCTGTCTCATAGCGGTCGTATGAGAAAATGGAAGAGTTGCCAGCCTTCTTGATTTGTTGTCTTCGATAATACCCTTATTTGAGTTTTTAATTTTTTTTTTTTGATGCAATCTCACGAGCAAGAATGGTTTTTTTTATTATAGTTATAAAGAAAAATAAACTTGAACCTTTATTTTTAATTTTTTTGTAAACACACATGCCTAGAAGAAGAACATGACAGTTACGTTCATAGGAACGTTCACTCAAATAAAGGAATAAATTCAAGTAGCAGCTTTCATCCACAACTGAAATTTTATATATCTGCTTATCTATCTGATTTCATCGTACTTCACGTTTTGGCTGTATCCCATAGGAACGTATTTTTCACTTTTACGACCACAATTAAATTATGGACAGAAGGAAATAAATGAGGTAGTTATGATTTCATATATTGAGAATCCTGCCCAGAACATGTGGAAAATAATATAAATATGATTGTGCCATCGGCGTGAAGGAATTCAAGGAAAAAAATGGTATTGATTTTTTACCAACTCACTCATCTGGTCATATCTCAAAAACTATTTGTTCAAATCATTAACCCTTGGAAACACATCAAGTACAAGAGTTTGTCAAAAATTTGAGCCCAAAATATTAAGAAATAAAAATCCCGCCCATGGTGAAAATATCTTTACATTTTTTGAAAATTTGGATACCTGCCGGTAATCAGTCTGTTTACTGTAGTTACTATAACAAAAACAAAATGTTTGTACATTTATAATAATTTACATTACAAAACCTTCAAATTGACGTTCTAAGATCACGAATAGCTTATTTGGTTGTGGAGTAATCTCTTCTGAAAGTTTAAATTTTTTAAATCCTCGAAAATACAGGGTTGTAGCCCAGAAGGATCTAGGCACTTCAGAGCAAAATCAAAAAAGGCGTTTGTTCAGAATGCCAAAATAAGCGTTTTGGCCAAGTTTGGCTCAAATTGGTGAGCTGGAATGACCCATAGTATTTATAGGCCAACCCTTGAAGCTACTGTACTAACATATAGAAATAATTATTTTCTTGTCAGAAAATGAAATTTTATTCGAGTTTGGTTATGGTGCCCATCTTGCCTCACTTTCCCCTATTTTAGAAAATCTATTAGCAAATAATTTGAAACCAACGCTTTTTGTTCATTCCCTGGGAAAACGAACTTGCTTTTATTCCCCGAATCTCGGGATGGAGTAAACCGCCGATTGATGGAAGCTCTACTTGCCACCAACAACGAGTACAATGCTGTTCTGCTGGACTTGAAGAAATTTTCAAGCGGCCTACCTTGTGGACTTTCCCAAAAAAGTTCGCAAACGTAATATGCACAACAATCTTCCCAGCAGTAAATCAAACACAGTCAGTACGTTACCCCATTCTAGGACAGTGTAGTAACTGTCTCTGTAAACATTACTCCCATCCATTCGACCAGACACTCGGTTGCTACACCGGAAGATCCCTTACGCCACCTGCCAACACTGTCTGGTTTGCCGTAACACACCAGTAACAGTTACAGGCGAAAAGAAAATTTTCTTCTACAGAGCTGCTCGCGAATCGAACGCTGCTGCTGTGTTGATGAAGCGGGTGGACAACCTGCACACCACCACCCCCGAAGGGTAAGGATAGTGGTCACTCTCCGCGATCACTTGTTTTCGGCTACGCTCTCGCATCTCAACGCTCTCGCTGCTGCTACGACAGCCAAGTGCTCTGCTCCCTCTTAGTGTGGCTAGTATCTCCTGCTCTCGGCGAACAATCGGTGTTCCAGGATGAGTGATGGATACTTCTGTCGACCTGCTAGGATATTGTTTCGATTTATCCTGCACAATGGACGATAGTGAAGCGAAAATAGTGCCCCATGGACGCGTGAGTGTTCGGTGTCGGTAGAAACAGTGGAATTCGCCGCTGGTACGGCCTCGATAGTGCACTAATTCGAACAGTGAAAAAGTCTAGTTTTTCTACCACAGAATCTTGTGTGAAAATTTTGGGAGCGGCAGGAAGGAATATATTCGTGAGCGTGAATCTTGGACCGAGAGCAAACCGCACGGTCGTCTCAGCAGGGTTGGTTCATTTGCGCTGAGCAAAATATTATGTACATGTGTGTGAGTGTGTCAGAATAATGGGAGATTGTGCGAGCACTTCGGTCTGCGGTGCCAAGGAATACACGGAACGTACCCGTACGGACTATCTAATCTACAGCTGGTCGAGAAGAAGCTTAAATTGTTGACGATTTGATTGCCAGCCTTAACAGCGACCATCGTGTAGCGGTCGTTTTCCTCCGCCGAGATGCTGCGGCATGCATGACGAGATGAAAAGGGGTACCAATCGATTTGCCAGCACTGACTGACATCTCCCTTTTCGAATAAAGTATCTACTACAACACACCGGGGGTGATCTTGCCGAGAAAATAATGTAATGTTTGATGCATGCATGTCTGTGTGTGGTTCTTAGACGGTGCTCTCGCGCTCAGTCAGGAGGGAACGACCATGGTGCCATCGAAATGCGAGAGCCCAACGTCTGGAGAAAATCGCCTGAGTGCAAAAAGTGCTACTACATACTATTATACTATACACATTCACAAATAATGTAACTACACACAATTTGAGTCATCTGAGCTAGGCAGCGGAACTCTGACCGAGAATCGTTGTAAATGCGCTCGGCACTGCTGCTGCTGCTGCCGCCTGCCCATCTTTTAATGGGTGAATGTGCACCTTGCTGCAAATGTCGGAAGATTTATTCCACTATGCTTCGACAAATGATTTAATTTATTTTTCGAATTCTTGATTCGAACTTTGCGAGTATGATTGGCTGTGGCCCATCAGCAGAGGAAGAATGGAAAAGTGACACCAGTAGGACAGAGTGTATGCGACTATCGAAGAGACAGCAAAAAATCGATAATCTGTCATCGTGTATAATCACACGCCCCCCTTTGAAGTGTACGGTTGCTATTTTCCTGTTTTTCTGCTGTTCTTTTTGTAGCCGAATGGAAACACCTTACAAGCAGTAGCAGCAGCAGAAATGCTCTGTTCAAGCCGGGAAGTCGTTTCATGTCTTGGCGACACTTTTCCCTTGGAGAATGCATCTATGATGGATGATCAGATCCTTCTGGAGCTGTCTGGACCTCGTTAATTGAGACAATAAATCCATGTGTTCTTTGAGCACCTCCAAAGTTATTACCTCTATTAGGTTCTCAGTTTACCATTGCAGGTATTTGAATACATAAATCAGAAACTGTTGCTTTCATTCAACAACTTTGTTGAAACGAAGGAAACTTTGGAGATTGAAAAGTAACCAGTTTGATCGACTTGCAGTTGCTACATGTATGGAAATAAGACCTCAGGATTATTTTAATCATTGACGGCTATGATAAGTGCTTTCTGATGGTCATTTGTTTCGCCTCATTCTGAATCTAGGTACCAGAACTGAAATGGCGTTAACAAACCTTTCCTATCGCTATTCACATTACAGGCCCATGTCTAAAAACATGGAATGCAGAAAAATGCGATCGATTCTTTCATTAAAATTTGATCACGTGTGATCTTTCACTGAACTTTGTTATAATTACATAATTCTGAGCAAGAACATTTGATTTGTCGTAAACATATATATGTTTCATTAAGAAAATAGCAATTGGACTGTTATGCTAAAACTGTATGTTTAGATTGACATTATTTTCGCATACCAGTCCCACTTTCGAAAGCGTTTTCCATCAAAAGATGGCAGATCATCTTCGGTGTGTTTATCTCCTATTTCCGTATTTTAACAGTGCAGTGAATAAGACAGTTTTGCAGGGTGGCCAGTTAATCGGGAATTTAAAAAGTAACCGGGAAACCGCAAAAAACTGGAATTCTACGGGAGAACCGGGACAAAATCAATAAACCTTAGTATACGGCTGTCGGACACTTTTTTTCCTCTGTTCGGGACCTAACACCACTGCGACCAGTAATTTGATCTACTGTAGTATATCCCGTGTCCTTAGTTTAGTGCATGTCGTATTACTCCATCACTATTGAGAAATGATGAAGTATTCGATTTTTTTTTACAGTTGTCATTCTCGCATTTATCGCAAGGATCCGACTCTAATTGAAAGGTACCGCTATTTATATCCTTCGGAGTGTTGAAACACCCTCCAAAGGCGCGCCCCTTTGTCAGTCAAAATTGGATTCCTTAGCAACAAAATTAAGGAATGACACCGATAATGACCATGCATCAGAGCCCTAGTCTTAACCACTTCAAATTAGAGAACAACGAATAGAAGATTAGGAATCACATAGATGAAGATTAACTAACTCATTTTCCCTTGTTTCAAGATCATCCTCGGTGGACAAAGCCGAGTCTTGTCACTATCAACAAGGCATAAAAAGTAACAATGTTCCTTGGATTACTGAAAAATCCTGTTCCCCTAGTTTGAAGTAGTCAGGACTAGGAATCGATGGTAGATCTTACATCCCGTAACGTACCACGAAAAGGTGATCTACCCACGTTGTCGGACACTTAAATTATAGGATGTACTTTTTTATGGTCGAACAGGTCTTTTTTCGACGAACATATTTTAAAGTTTACGAAATTAACTCAAGAATTTGCCATGATTTCTGGGAAATGCAGATTTCAGCTTTATCAATTTATGTGTTATTTTTTTCCAATTAGTCAGTGGCGTCCCGTAACCTCACTTTTTACCTGTTCACCAACTTTCAAAAACAGATTTAATGCCATATTCATACTCGAATCGGTTGAAATATACACTTAATCTTCTAGTTAACTCGATATCTATCCATTGCAAGCAATATGTTGATAATTGTTTATGTTTTGAGAGTTGGCGCCCAGGTAGATTGAGGTTAAGGCAACGACACTGCAATTAGTTCATTATTTAATTAACCAATTTCAAATCCAAAATTGAAAATTGTTTTAGATTAATTAGATTAATTTTCGGTGACTCTATTGCCTTGTTTAAACTAGGAGTTGTAACGTATTATGTTACAAGTTGTTTATAAGATACCAGAACAATTATGATACACTTTTCCTTTCTGAGGCATAATATCCCTGGATTTAAATAAAAAATTGCGGACTTTGAAATATTAAAAAGATTCGAGACATAGCACCATCTCAAGCGTGCAACAATTTTAAAGATTTCCGAATTTGTAAAAAAAATCGATTTCCAATATTGAAAAGAATGTGCAATATCGTGCATTTTCTATTTTTGAATGATCATGGATTTCGATAAAAAATATCATGATCTCAAAGGATCTGGACTAAGTATTTTCAAGATTCAAAACTAAGACATTGATGATGTGGCTTTAGTAATTCTGGGACTTAAAAAAAATAATTAAAATATATTAAATCGAGATCCCGGATTTGAAAAAAAAGATGGAGGGTGGTATACAAGACACGACCGCATTGTTGACGTTGGACTACGATTTTTTTTTCGATTTTCTAGCTTGTTGAGCTCATGAGTAATCTACGGTAGGGGAAAAATTCCGCTATCTGAGGGTAGTGTCAGAATGCGTGGGCGAGCTACTAGTTACGTTAAATTGACGATCAAATGCATTGTTTACAAAACCTGATGCGTCCTTCGAAAAAGTAATCGAGAATTCTTCCTTCTATGGCCCCTGATCATAAGGCGCCTAGACCCTGAGTGATGCCTCATAGCTTCGTCCAGCTCGACTGTCTGACTGAACAAGCGGAAGCGATTTGGCAGACCTGATGAAGATTTCAATTATTCTTCCTCTCTCTCCCCCCAGTGTTAAATGTTATGACCGAGCTCCGACTTGCTTCACTGCCGGGCTGGGACTGATGGTAGTGGTGGATGCGATTTGACAGAAGCATTTTGGAAAAGACATCCCTTTCCGCTGCTCTTCCTTTCCCTCCGACCAGCTCGACTATTTGGCAGCAACTGATAGTGGAAGCAATTTGGCAGAGCTTTTCGTAGAGGAAAATTTTGGCTGCTCTACCTCTTCCACTATTCTAACGTAATCAGTTTTCACCGAGCTCCGATCAGATCGACCACAACGTTGAATGATTGTGCGGCTTCGGCTTGTGTCGTTAGGGATCAACTTTCTGATGGCTGTGTTAGGGGTAAGCACCTTGCGGTCGAAGAAAATGTAAGAGAAATTTTAATATTTCCATATTTCTTCACTGTTAACTATTTAAATATTTAACAATTATAATGTGTGACTTACCACACAAATCTTATAACACTGGTGAATCGATCGACATACAAATCACCAAAATCCATTAAAGTCTGACCAATTTTCGTTGCATTCCCCTGAATTGGCACCCTTCCCGAAACACGTAGTCCTACGTCAAAAATTGGCATAGAAAAATGAAAAATGATCAGCTTGCAAAACACGAAGCAAAATTTACGTTGCACGACTTTAAAAAATAGATCCCGGATTTGTACAAATTTTTTATATTCAAAAGTATTAAAATAATAAAAAAAATTCGAAGCCATCAAGATCCTGAATTTGACAAGCTTTTTTAGGTCTAGAACAGTGGTGCTTATTAAATGGCCCGCGGACCACATGAGTGAGCAGAGTGCCGAGTGAGTTTGTGTGGCCCGCTGAATGCTTTCAGCCTTTGGCATGCAACTTTTTATCAAATTAAGATTCCCTTGGATTTCATATCGGAGTTCTCTTTTTGAGACTTCTTCTTTTTCATCCTCAGAATTATGTTTAGAATTCATTCTAAATTTTGTGAAAAATTTTTCTCGCAGTTTCAATTAAATTCCCGTTATAATTTGTATCACAATTTCTTTAAAATTTTCCTAAAATTCAGTTACAAATATGTTTTAATTATGTTGAATTCTCTAAAACTTCCATACACTATCCTCAGATGTCGTGAGTTTGAACTTCCTTGGAAGTTAAAGTCAAAACTACTGAAGTAGTTTATTAGATAGTTCAATAGATTTTTCTGCTTTAGTTTACTTAAATCTTTGGTTTTTATTAGTTAGGTAGGTTCCGATTCAACACATTGTAGTTTCATTTTTATACCTGTGATCTTGACTTTTATACCTAA